GATAAACTCTACGTCCTCTGCCCTATGTGTCTTGAACACGGACGGGATTAAGAAGAAGAAGAAGAAAAATTAAGCGACTAGGAATTAAATGTCAGATGTCTTTGAGTAGAAATCAATTAAAATTTCACTATTTATTCTACTTGACACAGACACAGGCATGTCCTGAAATGAAAGTGTATTTTGTAACGAATGGCAGCACGGAGAGGATTATACCCAAGTTGGAGCCGGCCTTGAAGTTTTACAGTATCCAGATGTATGTGGATGTTAGAGCTAGCAGAACTGCGCCAAAAGTTGGGGAGGTGCTGAGGCACATCTCGACAAACTTCAGGTTGTTTGTGTATGTGTTCGTAGTTTGAGTTAGAGACTTTGGGGTGTTTGTGTATGTGTATATGTGTGTATATGTGTGGGTTAATGTGATAGCGTTTGTTGTATGAGTGTGTATGTGTGTCTTTCTGTGTGCCGTAACATACATTAAGTTTGCACTAAGCAGAGCCCTATTGTTTCTGTCCAGAGCCCTGTTGTTTGTGTCTAGAGCCCTATTGTTTCTGTCCAGAGCCCTGTTGTTTCTGTTCAGAGCCCTATTTTTTGTATCTGGTTTGAATCTGACTTTGTCAGACTTAAACGCGATCGAATGGCTGTGTTTAGAGTAGTTCATGACTGGGTGTGGTCTTCACTGACTCTCCTTTTTTTCCTGACTGGTCAGGATTTTTGCCAAACAGCCCACACAAAATACATTCACGTCTGATAAATATAGCTTTTCTTCATCTGACTTCCGCCTAGTTTACTTGCTGAGTAAGCTCCCCTAGCCTTAGTCTATCCAAGAACAAACAGCAAGGCAGCAGTTGCTTAATTTTGGAGTTTGCTCTACTAAATGGGTTACTGTCCCCTGTTAACTGACCGCTTCTAGGTGTAATGATCTAGTGCACACTCATTGCTCCACAGTCGGTGCCTGGTAAGGTTTGATATGGAGATACACTTCGATGACAGGATCACCACGTCACTCTTACACCTTGTTCGTCACTGTCAACATTTGGTTCATGTAAAGGTAAGCCTTTAGGTTCATATAAAGGTAAGCCTTTAGGTTCATTTTAAGGTAAGCCTTTAGGTTCATTTTAAAGGTATGCTTTAGGTTCATGTTAAGGTAAGACTTAAGGTTCATTATAAGGTATGCCTTTAGGTTCTTGTAGAGGTTAGACTTTAGGTTCATGTAAAGGTAAGCATTTAGGTTCATATAAAGGTAAGCCGTTAGGTTCATTTTAAGGTAAGACATTAGCTTCATGTAGAGGTAAGCCTTTAGGTTGATTTATAGGTAAATCGAAGACGTTACCATGCAACATACAACCTAGCGAACACCTATCGTTGAAAATATAAGCTTTGGGGTCGTCTATAAATGACGTTACACTCAAAGGGGGAGGGGGTGGGGGTACAGTGAGTGACGAGGGAGGTCAAATGGTGTGACGTCACAATTTTGAATTATAAAAAAAACAATTTTAGAAAACATATTTTAGACGTTATTTCGCTTTTTAGAAAAGTGTTTACATAGAAATTGTGTTAAAATATTCTATGTTGACAGAGTTCTGACAAGATTTTAGAAAAATACGATGTGTTAAAAAAAAATTCAACAGCATTTTTTAGGGGACGGGGGATTGGAGGCTGAGGTTTAACATCATTTTAGGGGGGGGGGGGGTCTGGCTATTTGTGACGTTGTGTGACTAAGAAGAAGGGGGGGAGGTAAAAAAAGCGTGACGTCATTTATGGATGACTCCTTTGTCTGTTTTTGCTGTGGTAATATCCCAACGTTACAGATATATTACCCCCCCCCCTACCAACGTTACAGATATATTACCCCCCCCCCCCCCTACCTATATTGCAGATAACGGCTAACTTTCCTAATCCGAAGATAAAAGAAACTATATTAAAGCTGATACAAAACAGGAGGCGACAGATCTACTTGAGAAAGTATCCAAACACGGCCAACAAACGGGCGAGAACAAACAAGGTGAAAGGTTCAGGTTCAAGACCCGCCGTAGCCACAGAACGGATGAGCTAGTTGTAGAACAAAGATGGAGACAGAGGGGGGGGGCCGCGATCACACCTTAGTTACCACACCAGTGACGGGCTTTAGCAGTATTTAATGAGTCATTACCACCAAGTTATACAAATTAAATAAAAACACTCCTATTTAACATGAAACATTGTATTCATATACCTCAATAAACATCTATATAGAATTTAATTTTTTGGATGTCAATAGTGATAACTAAGTTATCTAACTGTGCTTTTCAACAAACGCACCTATTCATTTTTAAAGAAATATAATGCAGTACAAGCAAAAAACAAAACAAGTTTTGAAATGGCAAGCAAAATTATATAGCCCTCCCCCGTTCCCAATACATGATGAATATCTTCTGTTAAATACTATTATTTCAAAAACCTGTTATAATCTTCAAGGCTTGAATGTTAACACGATTATGTACAGTTGATTTGGTTCTAAGTCTCGTGAGTTCAACCACTTAGAATTGGTACCACATTTGAGACGGCGAGAGGTCAAGGTGACCAAACAACCATTTCTTATCTACGTCGTCTTTTCACTATCATCGGCCTGCCCGTATTATAGTCATTTTAAAACTTAACTACAATACTGAAGTTTACATAAACAAAAGGGGTTATGGTTAACTTTTTGAACCTGATAGTCAAGAGTGCAAATGAAGTAGCAGTGACCTCCTGATATGAAGGGATAGTGTGGTCAGCTCTATGCCCAGCCGTCTTAATTTTCCCTAACGTGCGTTATGTACCCATTAGAGCTTGATGAACTCAGGGATGTTCTTCTGACTTTGACCCCGGATTCGAACTCGAGACTTTCGAGTTAGCAGTCTAGCTTTGCATTAATATTGACATTAAAATATTGGAATTAAAATGACTTTATTTTCAAAAAACATTAATAACAAAGTAATTTTTTTTTTAATCTTTCAAAATCAGCAATCAGCATTTTTACTCACTTTTTACAAAACAAATCGTGCACACTTGCGTGTATTGGTACACACCACTAACAAAAGGAAGCTTAAAATGTAGCCGCGCTTATGAACATTAAAGTAAACAAGCTCACTGAGTAACATTTAACACGACGGTGTGGTATTTCTGTCACAGATTTTTTACATCAAGAACAGTTTTTAACCTTAATCAAAATGTTAAATAAGATGTTTATTACGACAAAAGATTTGGCAGAAAATGGACAGGCTAAACAGAAGTTCAATCTAAAATTACCTAACTATTCAATGAGCTCGTATCTCCCGGATCAAATACCTCAACACGTACTGCTGCAGATATTTACTTATCTGGACCGTACCGATCTGATACGCCTAGCGGGTGTTTGTAAGTATTTGAGAGATCTCATCTTCACCTCGCCTCAGATTTGGCGTACCATACGACTTAAGCTATCCTGCAGCCAATATCCTCTGCGTAACAAATCAGCCTTATGGTATGCTAAACTATTCGGAATCCATTTCAAGGACTTGCTGATAGATTGTGAGATCGTCCGTCAACATAATTTCTGCAAAAACATGGCCGTCTGTCTTAGGAACCTTTTGCTTAGCCTAGGTCAAACGAGGCTGACGTCATTAGTTATAAAATACGGTCAAATCGTACATGCAAGTGTGCCAGTTGTATCCAGTCTTGTAGAGATTTTGACCCGATTCTTGACTCGATGCCGTGATCTAAAAATTTATGGGATGCCTTGCGCGCTGTGGACAGTCCAAGACGGCAGTAAGGTACTGGACACACTATGGTCCACATCGAGGGGAAGTCTGAAATCTCTAAGACTTGAGGGGTATTTTGTGCCACCAAAGGATGGTCGGAGACCGGCTGAGTTTGATCGTGTTACCACCGGCATCCTTTCCCTCACCCACCTGACTACACTGGGCATCGACTACTGTGTTTTAAATGACGCTTTTATTAATTCGCTCTCCAGAGCAAATATTAAAATAAAACTGTTGATACTTTTCGATGTAGAAGTCGAAGGAGATTGGACACAAATCTCAAAAAATGCATGGGTGAATTTGGTAAGTAGGCTAAATAATAATTTTTATTAAAACCTCTTTTAGGCCAAACGAAACAAAAATATTAACGAAAATAAATAAATACAAATTACGACAAAATACACATTAAATCATACAATGTGCCTCAAAGTGCAGAATTCAGGAACATATTAATTAAGCAACAGTAGAAAATACAGCTGAGCAAGAGAACCAAAGTAAAATCTAAACACTGCTATTCCATTCAATATAGATACAGTCCGATATTTTATATATATATATATATATATATATATATATATATATATATATATACAGTTCGATATAATCAAATACAGTTCAATATACAAACGGTTCGAAATAACACAATACAATTCGTTATTGATACAGTTCGATTTCATAAAATACAGTACGATATAGATACAGTTCGATACAAAATAATACAATTTAATACAATAAGATAAAGTTCGATATAATACGATAGAGTTTAATTTAATACAAAAACAGTTCGATATAATACGAAACAGTTCGAAATATTATATTCTAAACACTGTTAGACAGGGGGGAGAATTTTGTTAATTCTTGACAGGAAACAATTATTTCTTTATCGTTTTCTTAAGATAAAGTGGCAATGATAGTACATATTGTTAGGGAATGCAGTGAGTACTGTGGTTTGAGTGCATTGGGGTTCGGAGTGTACGTTTGCGTTTTCTTATCCTTGACTCTCCAATAAATAATTTGTACGCGTGCCTTCATGCTATGATAGAGGATAGGGATACGTAGGAAGTGACTACACACTATCCCTTAATATGCCGAGGTCCATGAATCAGAATGAACCGTTCGTCATCTGCCCTATGTGTCTCGAACACGGACGGGATTAAGAAGAAGAAAAATTAAGCGACTAGGAATTAAATGTCAGACGTCTTTGAGTAGAAATCAATTAAAATTTCACTATTTATTCTATTTGACACAGACACAGGCATGTCCAGAAATGAAAGTGTCTTTTATAACCAATGGCAGCCCGGATAGGATGATTGCCAAGTTGGAGCCGGCCTTGAACTTTTACAGTATCCGGATTTATGTGGATGTTTCAGCTAACAGAACTGCGCCAAAAGTTGGGGAGGTGCTGAGGCACATCACGACAAACTTCAGGTTGTTTGTGCATGTGTTCGTAGTTTGAGTTACAAACCGTAACAAAAATTAAGTTTGCACTTAGCAGAGCCCTATTGTTTCCGTCCAGAGCCCTACTATTTGAACCCAGAGCCCTATTAATTGTGTCCAGAGCCCTATTAATTGTGTCCAGGGCCCTATTAATTGTGTCCAGAGTCCTATTATTTGTGTCTAGAGCCCTACTGTTTGTGTCTAGAGTCCTATTGTTTGTGTCTAAAGCCCAATTTTTTTGTCCAGAGCCCTACTATTTGTGCCCAGAGCCCTATTAATTGTGTGCAGAGCCCTATTGTTTGTGTCCAGAGCCATATTTTTTGTGTCTAGAGCCCTGTTGTTGTGCCCAGAGCCCTACTATTTGTGTCAAGAGCCCATAGCTTGTATCCGGTGTTAAGCTGCCTACGTCAGGGTTAAACATGATAGACTGGCCGTGTGTAGAGTCGTTCATGACTGGGTGTGGTCTTCACTGACTCTCCTATTTTTCCTGACTGGTCAGGAGTTTTGCCAAACAGCCCACACAAAATACATTCACGTCTGATAATTATAGCTTTTCTTCATTTGACTTCAGCCTAGTTTACTTGCTGAGTAAGCTGCCCAGGCTTTTATCTATCCAAAAACAATCTACAAGGCAGCTGTTGGTTAATTTTGAAGTTTTCTCTACTGAATGGGTTACCGTCCCTTGTTAACTGACCCCTCATCCAGGTTGTAATGGTCTATTGAACTTGATTTGCTACACAGTCGAAGTCTGGTCAAATTCGAGATGGTGGTAGACATCGACGACAGAATCACTACGTCAGTCTTACACCTTGTTCGTCACTGTCAACATTTGGTTCATGTTAAGGTAAGAATTTAGCTTCATGTAAAGGTAAGATTTAGGTTCATGTAAAGGTAAGCCTTTAGGTTAGTTCATGCAAAGGTAAGTCTTTAGGTTCATGTAAAGGTAAGATTTTGGTTCATATAAAGGTAAGTTTTAGATTCATGTAAAAGTAAGACTTTAGGTTCATGTAAAGGTAAGCGTTTAGGTTCATGTAAAGGTAAGCGTTTAGATTCATATAAAGGTCATCGTTTAGGTTCATGTAAAGTTAAGCGTTTAGGCTCATGTTAAGTTAAAACTTTAAATTCATGGTAAGGTAGGACTTTAGGTCGATTTAAAGTTAAACCGAAGATGTTGCCATGCAACGCACAACCTACCAAACACCTATCGTTGAAAATATAAGCTTTGGGGTCGTCTATAAATGACGTCACACTCGAATTAGGGAGGGGGGTACGCTATTTTGTGAAGGAGTGTGAAGAGGGGTAGGGGGAGTTCAGGTTGTGTGACGTCACATTTTTGCATTATAAAAATTAATGTTAGAAAACGTATCTTAGCCGTTATTTCGCGTTTTAGAAAGCCTTTTAATAAATTGTTATAGGAACTGATTAAAATACTCTATTGACTGAGTTCAGACAAGATTTTTTGAAAAATATCGATGTTTTAAGAAAAATTCAACTGCAATTTTTAGGGGGGTAGGTTTTGTAGGCTGAGGTGTGACGTCATTTTAGGGGAGGGTCTGGCTGTTTGTGACGTTGGGTGACGAAGAGGAGGGGGGGGGGGTCCAAAAAAACGTGACGTCATTTATGGATGACCACTTTTGTCGGTTTTTACAGTCGCAATATCCCAACGGCACAGACATATTAAACCCCTCCCCCTCTACTAATGTTGCAGATATCGGCTATGTTTCCTAATCCGAAGATAAAAGAAACGATCTTAAAGCTGATACAAAACAGGAGGCGACAGATCTACTTGAGAAAGTATCCAAACACGGCCAACAAACGGGCGAGAACAAACAAGGTGAAAGGTCCGGGTTCAAGACCCGCCGTAGCCACAGAACGGATGAGCTAGTTGTAGAACAAAGCTGGAGACAGAGGGGGGGCCCGCGATCATACCTTAGTTACCACACCAGTGACGGGCTTTAGCAGTATTTAATGAGTCATTACCACCAAGTTATACAAATTAAATAAAAACACTCCTATTTAACATGAAACATTGTATTCGTATACCTCAATAAACATCTATATAGAATTTAACTTTTTGGATGTCAATAGTGATAACTAAGTTATCTAACTGTGCTTTTCAACAAACGCACCTATTCATTTTTAAACAAAATATGATTGCGGTACGAGCGAAAAACAAGTTTTGAAATGGCAAGCAAAAATATATACCCCCCCCCCCCCCCCCCCGCCGTTCACAATACATGATGAATATCTTCTGTTAAATACTATTATTTCAAAAACCTGATATAATCTTCAAGGCTTGAATGTTAACACGATTATGTACAGTTGATTTGGTTCTAAGTCTCGTGAGTTCAACCACTTAGAATTGGTACCACATTTGAGACGGCGAGAGGTCAAGGTGACCAAACAACCATTTCTTATCTACCTCGTCTTTTCACTATCATCGGCCTGCTCGTATGATAGTCATTTTAAAACTTAACTACAATACTGAAGTTTACATAAACAAAAGGGGTTATGGTTAACTTTTTGAACCTGATAGTCAAGAGTGCAAATGAAGTAGCAGTGACCCCCTGATATGAAGGGATAGTGTGGTCAGCTCTATGCCCAGCCGTCTTAATTTTCCCTAACGTGCGTTATGTACCCATTAGAGCTGGATGAACTCAGGGATGTTCTTCTGACTTTGAACCCGGATTCGAACTCGAGACTTTCGAGTTAGCAGTCTAGCTTTGCATTAATATTGACATTAAAATATTGGAATTAAAATGACTTTATTTTCAAAAAACATTTATAACAAAGTAAATTTTTTTTTAATCTTTCAAAATCAGCAATCAACATTTGTACACACTTTTTACAAAACAAATCGTGCACACTTGCGTGTACTGGTGCACACCACTAACAAAAGGAAGCTTAAAATGTAGCCGCGCTTATTCCATCAACATTAAAGTAAAAAACGCACTGAATAACATTTAACACGACCGTGTGGTATTGTTTTTACACACCCTCTACATCAAGAAAATGTTTTAATCAAAATGAAAATATTTAAAAAGATTTATATCACGACAAAATATTTGCCTGAAAATGGACAGGCTAAACAGAAGTTCAATCTAAAATTACCGAACAATTCAATGAGCTCGTATCTCCCAGATCAAATACCTCAACACATACTGCTGCAGATATTTACTTATCTGGACAGTACCGATCTGCTACGACTAGCGGGTGTTTGTAAGTATTTGAGAGATCTCATCTTCACCTCGCCTCAGATTTGGCGGACTATAAGACTTAAGCTATCCTGCAGCCAATATCCTCTGTGTAACAAATCAGCCTTATGGTACGCTAAACTATTCGGAATCCATTTCCGGAAGCTACGGATAGATTGCGACCACGTTTGTGAACATATTTTCTGCAAGACCATGGCCGTCTGTCTAAGGAACTTTTTGCTAAGTCTACGTCAAACGACGCTGACGTCATTAGTTGTAAAATTTGGGCAAATTACCCATGCAAGTGTGGCAGTTGTATTCAGGCTTGTGGAGATTTTGACCCGCATCTTGACTCGATGCCGTGATCTACAACATTTTGGGATGCCTTGGGCGTTATGGACAGTCCAAGACGGCAGTAAGGTACTGGACACACTATGGTCCACATCGAGGGGGAGTCTGAAATCTCTAAGACTTGAGGGTTATTTTGTGCCACCAAAGGACGGCCGGAGACCGGCTGAGTTTGATCGTGTTACCACCGGCATCCTTTCACTCACCCACCTGACTAAACTCTGCATCGACTACTGTGTTTTAAATGACGCCTTCGTTAATTCGCTCTCCAGAGCAAATACAAAAATAAAAATGTTGATGCTCTTCGATGTGGATTTCAATGGTGCTTTGACAATAATCTCAAAAAATGCATGGTTGAACTTGGTAAGTAGGCTAATTAATTTGTTTGATAAAGTAAAATCTTAACACTTACAAGACACGACTTGTCTTATAACACTGCAACTCAATAAGACATAGATACTGTTCGATATAGTTACAGATCAATACGATTCTGTATGATATAATACAATACCGTTCGATATAATCCGATAATTCTGATATAATATAATACTGTTTGATATAATACAATACAATTTTATATAAAACAATACAATTTATATAATACAATACAATTTTATATAATACGACACAGTTCGATTTAATACGATACAGTTCGATATAATACTATACAGTAATCAATTATTTCTCTACAGCTTTAATTAAGATAAATCGGCCTATGGTAGTGCCCTTGTTAGGGCATGCATTGAGTACTTGGGGTTGTGTGCACTGGGGATCGGAATGTACTTTTGCCTTTTCCTATCCTTGACTCTCCTATAAATAATTTTTCGAAGTGTCTACTCGGAAGAAGATTTTTCTCCCCAACGTCTCCACTTAGTCGGCAAAAGATAGCTCTGCGCATGCGCAGTGACCTATGGCTAGGGTTAGGGCTAGAATGAGGGTTAGGGGTAGGATTAGGGTTAGGGATAGGGTTAGGGATAGGATTAGGGCTAGGGTTAGGGATAGGATTAGGGTTAGGTTAGGGATAGGATTAGGGATAGGGTTAAGGATAGGATTAGGGTTGGTGTTAGGGTTCTGCGGTTGTAAACACACGCATGCGCAGTACCATCGAAAACATCGCCGCTAAGGCAAGTCGTAGTTTCTCTCCCTTGCGCATGCGTATCGCATGCGTATCTTATTCCGGCTAGAATCGGCCATAATTTTTACGCGCGCCTTAATATTATCATTTAGGTTAAGGTGCTGTAGTAAGTGACAAAAAATGGATGAAATACGTCCTTGAGTGAAAATGAATTAATATTTAAATATTTATTCTATTTGACATAGACACAGGCATGTTCAGAAATGAAAGTGTCTTTTATAACCAATGGCAGCCCGGAGAGGATTATCGCCAAGTTGGAGCCTGTCTTGAACGTTCACACTATCCGGATTTATGTGGATGTTTCAGCTAACAGAAATGCGCCGAAAATTGGGGAAGTTCTGAGACACATCACAACCAACTTCAGGTTGTTTGTGTATGTGTTCGTATTGTGTGTGAGTGAAATACTTTGAGTGGGGTGTTTGTGTATGTGTATCGGTGTGTATATATGCGTGGGTTAATGTGAGAGTGCTTGTTGCATGAGTGTGTATGTGTGTCTGTCTGTCTGCCGTAGCATAAATTACGTTTACACCGAGCAGAGCCCTAATTTTATGTCCAGAGCCCTATTGTTTGTGTTCAGAGCACTATTTTTGTATCTGTTTTAAATCTGCCATTGCCAGGTTTAAACGTGATAAACTGGACGTGTATAGAGTCGTTCATGACTGGGTGTGGTCTTCACTGACTCTCCTTATGAGGCTTTTTTTTTCCTGACTGGTCAGGATTTTGGCAAAATAGCAGTCTAAATTAATTCACCTCTGATAAATATTGCTTTTCTTTTTCTGAATCCAACCTGCTTTCCTTTCTGAGTTTACACCCCTAGGCTTTGTTTATCCGAAAACAATCTACAAGGTAGCAGTGCTTGAGTTTGGAGTTTCCTCTACTGGGTGGGTTACCGTCCCTTGTTAACTGACCGCTTCATCCAGGTTGTAATGGTCTATTGTACTTGATTTGCTACACAGTCGAAGTCTGGTCAAATTCGAGATGACGGTAGACGTCGATGACAGGATCACCACGTCACTCGTACACCTTGTTCGTCACTGTCAACATTTGGTTCATGTTAAGGTAAGAATTTAGCTTCATGTAGAGGTAAGCCTTTAGGTTCATGTAAAGGTAAGAATTTAGCTTCATGTAGAGGTAAGCCTTTAGGTTCATGTAAAGGTAAGCCTTTAGGTTCATGTAAAGGTAAGCCTTTAGGTTCATGTAAAGGTAAGCCTTTAGGTTCATGTATAGGTAAGACTTTTGGTTCATTAAAAGGTAAATCGAAGACGTTACCAAGCGACAGACAACCTTGCGAACACCCATCGTTGAAAATATAAGCTTTGGGGTCGTCTATAAATGGCGTTATACTCGAAGGGGTAGGGGGTAGGGGTAGTACTGTTGTGACGGTGTGTGACGATGGGGAGAGGGGGGGGGGGGGTGCAGATGGTTTGACATAACACTTTTGCATTATAAAAAAAAACAATGTTATAAAACGTATTTTAGTCGTTATTTCGCGTTTTAGAAAACTGTTTAAATAAATTTAAATAGAAATTGTGTAAAATACTATGCTGACAGAGTTCAGTAAAGATTTTGGAAAAATATCGTTGTATTAAAAATTCAACTGCAATTTTTAGGGGGCGGGGGATTGTAGGCTGAGGTTTGACGTCATTTTAGGGGGGGGGTTGCCTTTTTTTAAATGATGTGTAACAGAGAGAAGGGGGGGGGGGGGGAGGTCCCAAAAAAGCGTGACGTTATTTATGGATGATCACTTTTGTAGGTTTTTGCAGTGGCAATATCCCAACGGCACAGACATGTTAACCCCCCACACCTATGTTGCAGATAAAGGCTAAATTTCCTAATCCGAAGATAAAAGAAACAATCTTAAAGCTGATACAAAACAGGAGGCGACAGATCTACTTGAGAAAGTATCCAAACACGGCCAACAAACGGGCGAGAACATCTAAGGCGAACGGTCCAGGTTCGAGTCCCGCCGTAGCCATAGAACGGATGAGCTAGTTGTAGAACAAAGCTGGAGGTAGAGGGTGGGCCCAGCGACAAGAAACACGGAGGATATTAAGTTTCTCGTGAGCACATCATGCGACGTACGTCACTGTAATCATCTACTACATCATCACTGAGAGGACCTACTACATCATCACTGAGAGGACCTACTACATCATCAGAGAGAGGACCTACTACATCATCAGAGAGAGGACCTACTACATCATCAGAGAGAGGACCTACTACATCACCACAGAGATACACGGCGCTATAATAATCTACTACATCATCACTGAGATACACGGCGCTATAATAATCTACTACATCATCACTGAGAAGGTCGACTTCACCCCATAGAGGAACTACTATATCATCAGAGAGATGAACTTTTATATCATCAAAGAGAGGACCTACTACATCATCACTGAGAGGACCTACTACATCATCACAGAGAGGACCTACTACATCATCAGAGAGAGGACCTACTACATCATCGCAGATATACACTGCGCTGTAAAAAAAATTGTGGAAAATATTTTTTTAAAATCAAAATGAAAATAAAACAATAAAACGATTATTTATATTGTTTATTAAAAAGTGATTTACGTTTTTATTATTTAATGTAATCAATAAAAAAGTATACGTTTATTTAGTTTTACTTGTAAATATAGTGGTTTAAAAAATGGAATGGTACTGTAAAAAAATATTTTCGACATTCCATTCATTAAGAAAAACTGAACATTTAAGGTAATTTCGAAAGTGAAAAGAAATTAACTCCAACCAACTTTCTAATGAGGTGTATAACTGAGCTAAACATTAACCTCAGCGGTTAGATCCAATGTTTTAAATACAGGGAATTTAGCAGAGGGGTTGATATCCAAGCTAAAAGGGGGTTGGTTGGGTTGGAGGCTTGTATAATTTTGTTTTAATTACAATATTTTAGTCTAGGGGTTGATATAAGGTGCGTGTGTGTGTGTGTGCTTCGAGGGGGGTTGATATAAGGGGCGTGTGTTGGGGGTGGAGGAGGAGGGGTAGAAAAGCAAGGTTAGGCTTACATACATTTTTTTTTAAAATGACAGAGTATATTTGTTTGGTCGATGTTGAAAGGTTTGATTTTATCTTACGTGACCAAGTGAACTCTAATCAAGTCATTCAGGTAACTATATGTTGTGTTTTGAGATGGGGTTTATGTAATTTTACTTTCTGAGACATTGTACTGATAATCATCTTACAGTCAGTTGTGTTTTTCATGCAGTCATATCTCATTACTTTAACCAAACATCTTTTATGAAAGGCATAGCTTTTTTATAATATAGAAAAAGAAAATTAATTAATTATCAACACAAAAACCATCTTGAAACTATGTTATGGTTGTTGGTTTGATTATAGAGAAACACGCAAATCAGCGATCGAATATTGCACGCGATTAGAACGTGCACTTTTCAGCACGGGTGTATACAATTACAATGTGCTAAAAAAAGGAATTTGTTTTCTAAGCTGTTCGCGTCAGTGTATTGATGTACTCTCTCAGTTTACGCCAAAAGAGCCAAGGTGTTGCGTTTAAATTAACAAAACTATGAATGGAAAATTATAAGAAGGCCACCATACAAGTAGAGAACTATAATATTGACTATTTAACTAGGTATTTTAAATCCAAAACGGAAGATTCCAATTTTCTTGACCAACTTCCGCCAGACATATTGTTACATATTTTCTGTTTTCTTAACGTGGATGAGCGCTTAAGACTAGCATGTGTATGTAGGTCATGGAGAGATTTGATCCACAACACACCCCACTTGTGGCGCAACAGCCAACTAAAACTTTGCTGCGACTGCGAATGTGTGCAATGGAGAAGAACATTCTCTTCCGTAAAGCGATTCGCAAGCCATTTCCGGGAGTTATCAATCTCCTGCAGTCATCACAATAACCACGCTGGCTGCAAAATTCTTGCCGCGGAGTTCCAGAAACTTGTGCTTTGTATACACGATCCGGTTCTGACGTCATTGAAGATAACTGATCTACGACTGCAGGGTTCTCTCTCTAAAACCGTTTCCGGTATCAGTGAGGTTCTGACGTGCATGCTCTCCAGTCTTGACCGTCTGCAGTGTTTCAAAATGTCGTCTGCGCAATGGCCGCTACATGAAGGCATCAAGGTCATCGACACCGTCTTGACCGTGTCCAGAGGAACCCTCCAGTCTCTGGTCATCGACGGGTTCTTTGAGGCGACTTCTTTAGCCCAGAGACCGGCTGAGTTTGACCGAGTGACCAACGGCATCCTTTCTCTCAACCGCTTGACAAAACTAGGCATCGACTACGGTCTTCTGACGGATGAATTTGTGACTACGCTCTCCGGGTCACACGCAGGGCAGATTAGTAAATTAAAACTAGTCATAAGCGGCTTACAGGATTACTACTTGCCTAAGATCGCACACGAATGTTGGTTAAAATTGGTATGGAATTACACTTATATTTCATTTGTTTTTAAAGACAATCTAATTCCTTTTCTCCGTTCTTAATTGTAAGATTTGCCCCAACTGCAATCCTCTCTTTTGACATGAACAGACTGAGGCTTGTCCAACAATGAAGGTTGCCTTTACTTTGGATATCTGGGTTTTAGACCTGGCACAATCTTACGTCGATATACTAGATCCTGCCTTACCTATCTACAAACTGCGGCTAACCTATGGGTTAAGATTCGCTGCTTCGTTCTGGAGTTGCGGCTATCCTAGTTACAAGCTGAAATATATCGTCAAACATTTCAGGTGGGTGTGACACGGTCTGTTTATGTGTGCCAGTGTGTGTTTATGCGTGCCAGTTTGTGTGTTTATGTGTGCCGGTGTGTGTGTTTATGTGTGCCAGTGTATGTGTTGATGTGTATGCTTCACTGTGTTTATACGTGTGCAGTTGACTTTCTTTCAGTGCATGCTTGCCAATGCATCTGAGTATGTGTATGCTAGTGTGTATCAATATTTTCACATGCTAGTGTGTCTCTGAGTTGATGCGTGAAAATGTGTTTTTATGTATGTATTCAGTGCATTTGTGCTAACATGTTTGTATTTATGTATTCAGTGCATTTGTGCTAATGTTCTGGTTGTTTCTTTAGCTACACTGTGCACGTATTTAACCATATTAATGGGTTAAACGATATTGCATCGGGTACTCTATTATTCGCCTAAATAACTCTATAACAGGTGTGTAAAACACTTTTAAAATCATTTTGATAGAATAATAACAATCCATGTTATTGAAGCGTATCATTGTTTATAGCATACAGTTCTACATTTTTAAGTACGACATGGCCTAGCGGTAGAGAGCTGGACTGCTAACCCGAAAGTTTCGAGTTCGAATGCGGGTTCAAGTCAGTAGACCGTCCCTGAGTCCACCTAACTCTGATGGGTACCTAACTCACTTTAGGGAAGTAAAGGCAGCTGGGTATAGTGCTGACCACACTATCCCTTCATATGCCGAGGTAACAGAAACAGGCGAACTCTACTTCACTTGACACAGACCGTCAGGTTCGAAAAGGGAGCTTTGCTTTTTTACTTTCTCATATATGAAGTATAGTGAAGTATAGAGGAAGTATTGTAATAGTGAAAAAAAAATCGAGATTTTTATAAATCTCGACGCTTTACACCTCCATGAGTTGGAAAAACATAGTTTTGCGATTTTGTCCGTGTCTATGTGTGTGTGTGTATGTGTGCCTGTGAACACGATAACTAGAGTACCGTTACAGCTAAGTTGATGAAATTTCATTTATAAGTATTATATCAAATTTGTAGTTCTGTATCAACTTTTCAGCGATTTCTGGTAACCGGAAGTGGAACTTATTCTATTTTTTTTTTCAAAAGCCTATAACTTGAGTACTGTTGCAGATAGATAAATGAAATTTCACATTTCTAATTCTAAGATCTAATTCTCTGCCTTCTGTTAAATTTTCAGTAGTTTCCGTTAACCGGAAGTAGTAATTTACGCTATTTCCGATTTCTAAAAAAAGCATGTAAATTTATAAGTTCTAATAATATTCCGCTCCATTATACACATATTGTTTGGCGTTCACTTCGTGCGCAATTCTTTTTTCTACGCGATTCTATTATATTTTAAAAGGTTTAAGTAATTAAAAATGGATTAAAAATCATGTATATATCCTGAGTTCCCATCCCCCGTAGTGTTATATTAGAATATTCGAGAAAGTTTAGGGGAGATTACGCCCGGTTTATTAGATAAATGTATTGAACGATATACAATAAGAAAAAAACCCTTTCCTTGTTTTTTAAGCAGTGAAAAAGATAATGTTTGTGTAATCTGATGTTAATAAATCGCGCTTATTGATGCTGGATTTTGAATGATGTTAACTTGGATTCGGAGAAGAGGGTATTTACAATACGATGGTAAGAACCAGTGGCGTAGCGAGGTCGGGTGTCACCCGTTGCGGCACTTAATGGTGTCACCCCCCAGAGGCGTAGCGACCCTTCCCGGGGACAAATTTTCGATTTGAACCTCCCCCCCCCCTGGTACGAAGTCATCTAGTGTAAACCGTTGCTTCTACAGGCATAGTCTTGTAAAACTGGAGGCTGATACATTCAACGAAGAAGACAGGCTCCTATGTAGCACACTTCTCAATCATGGCACAATGGACGAGGCTGTTCTACACTTCGTGACACATTGTTACCGTTTGCTGCATGTTAAGGTAACTGTCAACATTGGTTTTGTTTACTGATGTTCAACTTATGTCGGCTTATGTTGTTTGTAATTGTAAGGTAACCCTCAACATTGGCTGAATGCAAATTGTGTTGGATAGTATACCAACCCATGAACGACATTGGGGCAGGCTCAGTCTACTTGGCTTTAGCTAAAAATGTTCAGTTAGTCATATAGGCTTACTTAGTCATATAGGCTTAGTTAGTCATATAGGCTTACTTAGTCATATTGGCTTACTTAGTCATATAGGCTTACGTAGTCATATAGGCTTACGTAGTCTTATAGGCTTACTTAGTCATATAGGCTTAGTTAGTCATATAGGCTTACTTAGTCTTATAGGCTTACTTAGTCATATAGGCTTACTTAGTCATATAGGCTTACTTAGTCTTATAGGCTTACTTAGTCATATAGGCTTACTTAGTCATATAGGCTTACTTAAACATATAGGGTTAGTCATTTGGCTTATTTAGTCATATATGCTTAATTAGTCATGCTGAATTGATAGATAAAACCATAAGAGTCGTTATGTTTACAGGTGGGTATGGTGTAGTTCTAACGATTTGTTTAATGTTACATTTAGTACGTGTAATTTAAAATACATCTTTAAAAAATAATTTAACTGTACAAACATTTGGGACGGAGTGGCCGAGCAGTAGAGAGCTGGACTGCTAACCCGTAAGTCTCGAGTTCGATTCAGGGTTTCAAGACAGTAGACCATCCCTTAGTCCACCCAACTCTGATGGGTACCTAACTCACGTTAGGGTATAAAGGCGGCTGGGCATAGTGCTGACCACACTATTTCTTCATATGCCGTGGTCACAGAAACAAGTGAAGTCTACTTCACTTGCCTTATAGACCGTCAGGTTTGAAAGGTCTACGAGGGTTTATTTTACATGATATTTGTAGTTTGTTGATACAATTATTTTTAAAAGTAAGCTATTTTTAACATTAAAATGAACTGAGCTATTTTAAACTAACACCCGTCTGTACCTAACACGGCCATGTTACTTACGCTTCCATACCTTAGTTCTCAGCTCTCTTTGAAAACCCAGAGAAAGTTGAAATGGCTGCAAAGAAGGTGACGCAGGGGAGGCTACTGCGAGATTTGAAAAAGACCATCAGCAACAAACGACGTAAAATGAAACAGGCCAGTGGTCTAGGTACAAACGGATCAAAGCCGCCGACGTCCAAGAAGATCAAGCTATAGCATACTGGATCTTATGCACGAATTGTTTTTAAAGACTCTAGCTCCGAGTTACGTGTAACGTGAATGCTAACAAAGACTTTTATACCAAGCCTTTTTTACTTTGTTGATTGAATATTATTTTGTTTTTATATTATTTTTATTTTGATGAGACTTAGCATTTAGGTACTTAAAGAAGATAATTTAGCATCGTTTTATTAAAGAACTAGCCATCGGTACCCGTTTCACGTGAATTATAGGCCTATATATTTAGAAATGTACTTGATTGAGAAAAATAATTTATGAAATAGTTATTGGTCAAAACGCAATGTGCTTTACTACACGCTGAACGATATTAGTGACAAAGCAAAGAAATAACTAATTAGCTAAAAAATCCGACACATTTAACATAACACAGGCACAGATTGATTCAATGACTTAAATGATTACGTTAAAAATCTGGCTATTCAATGGTCATTATGTTGTTTTTAAGTAATGTGTATTAGTTTGACCGATACAATTGTATATATTTCATAGCGTACGTCTTGATGAGTAGATCTATAGATCTAGATCTAAAAATCAAATTTGAATAAAGTAGTTCCTTTCTTTATAGTCTAAAATCGGAATTCACATATAAAAAAATAAATGATTAAGTTTGACTTGATGTGTCTCTATCCCGCACCACCTGTGTGATATTAATTACACTATTAAAGATTCTAGAGAAGATAGAGTCTAAATCTTGATCTTGGCGACTTATTAGCATCTTCGTCTAGTTTTTGCGTAGATTTAGATCTAGTCTAGATCTAGAATCTCTAGATCTAGAATCTCTAGATCTAGAATCCAAATAGATAAAATAAATTTTATAAGTTTAGGTCTGAAAAATAGTATTGTATACATTTCATAGCGTGCGTAGATCTAAATCAAATTGAATGAAATTGTTCATTTCGTTTTATTCTAAACTCGGCAGATGACGTCATTAGTTAATGTATAAACATTAGTGACGTCATTGTTTCATGGGTTCTTTTTCACAACTATAAACCCTTTTCCTGTTGCATAATTAAAACTGTTTTTCTACATTCGAATATGCCTTTATTTTTTTTTCTTCTTTAAATAAAATGTTGATTATACATTTAAAACATCAACCATATTATTTTCAACTAAAGTCCGTATCAAGTTCTCCATATATAGGCCTACTGCTGCAGATTCTGATGTGATATCCTGCGAAAATATTTTGTGGACAGAGAGAGAGAGAGAGAGAGAGAGAGAGAGAGAGAGAGAGAGAGAGAGAGAGAGATGTGCTTACATGATCTTTTATATATTAGGATGTCAACACATTTTTTTTCATAAAAACGTTTTAATAACAAGCTTTTATTTAATAATGCACTAAAAAGGAGAAAATAAATTATAAACTGCTATTTAAATAACTATGAAGAAAGCGTTTATTTTCTCCTTTTTAGTGCATTATTACATAAAAGCTTGTTATTAAAACGTTTTTTATGATTTTTTTTAGTACTTTACATGTTTTATTTACAATAGAGTTACATGACTAAAAACCATTGCGCACCCATTGAACGTGATGACGCCCTATTGAATGTGATGACGCGTGTCTATTAGCGCGGAATAGTTTGATGAGACAGCCTACTAATTTGGACAAAAGTTTATATAATTCATAAAAAAATAATCAGGCAACCAATTAAGTCTAATTTAATGTCATGTTGCATTGTCTTCATGTCTTCACTACGAACCGTATCTGTCAGTTAGAAGTGCCTGCAATTTCGCTCGGGCGTTTCGCTCTAGACAGACAGACTGACGACTGACGACATAGGAAGTGAGTTAAATAAAAGCTTGCAAAAAATTAATTAACACTAACCAACCGTTTTATGAGGTGTATAACTAATATAAACCTTAACCTCATCGGGTTAGATAGGGGTCGGCGTGTTAGAGTCGGTAGAGGCTCATGGTTGCTAAACCGATAAGTCTTGAGTTCGAACCCTCGTGCAAAATCAAACAACTGCTGCCTTGTAGTTTGTTCTTGGTTTGATAAAGGCTATGGAAGCAAATCCAAGAAGAAAAGATGGGTGAATAGCCTCAATGGTGCATAACCAGTTGACACGTATATTTAATTGTGTTGGAGGCGTGGTCGAGTCGGCAAAAAGCTCATGGTTGTTATAATTCGAAAAAGGCTCGAGTTCAAACCCTCCGGCAGATAACACTCGATTCCTTCCAACACCAAAAATTAACAACAAAGAAGAAGAAGAAGATGTGTTAGATCCTATGTTTTTAATACAGATAATTTAGTCCAGAGGTTGATATCAAAGCCAAGTGGAAGGGTGTGTGGAGGCTTATATAATGTTGTTTTATTTACAATAATTTTTGTCTAGGTGTTATTTTAAGGTGCGCACTTGTGCGCGTGTGTGTGTGTGTGTGTTTGTGTTTCGAGGGGGGGGGGGTCGGAGACATAGAATTTTGTTTTAATTAGAAAATTTTGTTTTGATTAGAATATGTTGTTTTGATTAGAATATTTTGTTCAGGAGTTGATATAAGGGACGTGTGTGTGGGGGGGGGGGGGGGGGGGGAGGAAGAGGGTTCAAAAAGCAAGTTTAGGCTTAAAAGCAATTTTAAAAAAACGACAGAGTAGATCTATGCTTGTATGAGCGATGTTGATGGATTTGCTATGATCTGACGTGACCAAGTGAACTTTAATCTGCTCATTTAGCTAACAATATGTTGTGTTTTGAGATGGGGTATATTACATTTTATTTTCTGAGACATATAACAGTCAGTTGTGTTTGTCATGCAGTCATATCTTATTACTTTAACCAAACATTTTTAGTATATATTTAAAATATAGAGAAATGATTATTAATTAATTATGAACACAAAAAACTTGAAACTCTTGTTATGACTGTTGCTGTGATTATAAAGAAACACACAAATCAACAATCGAATATTGCACGCGATTACAACGTGCACAATTCTGCACGGGTGTGTACCATGCACTAAAACGGAATGTGACTTCTAAGCGCGCTATTCGCTTCAGTGTATTGGTGTACTCACTCCAGCTAACAGAATCAAGGAGCAGTACTTAAATTAACAAAACTATGAATGGCAAAGTATGAGAAAACCACGATAAATGTACGGAACTATTATAGTGATTATTTAACCAATTATTTTAATTCAGAAACGGAAGCGTCCGATTTTCTTGACCAACTTCCGCCAGAGATACTATTGCATATTTTCTGTTTTCTCAACCTGGACGAGCGTTTAAGACTAGCATGTGTATGTAAGTCTTGGAGAGATTTAATCCACAACACACCCCGCTTGTGGCGCAACAGCCACCTTAAGCTGTGTTGCCACCTCGAATGTTTGCAATGGAAAAGAGCATTCTCTTCCGTAAAGCGATTCGCAAATCATTTCCGGGAATTAACAATTTCCTGCACTCATCACAATAACCACACTGGCTGCAAAATTCTTGCCGTGGAGTTCCGAAACCTTCTGCTTTGTATACATGAACCGGTTCTGACGTCATTGAAGATAACTGATCTACGACTGCAGGGTTCTCTGTCTCGCACCGTGTCCGATATCAGTGCTATTCTGACGTGCATGCTCTCTAGCCTTGACCGTCTGAAGTGTTTCAAAATGTCGTCTGCGCAATGGCCGCTCCAAGAAGGCATCAAGGTCATGGACACCGTCTTGACCGTGTCCCGAGGAACCCTCCAGTCTCTGGTCATCGACGGGTTCTTTGAGGCGACTTCTTTAGCCCAGAGACCGGCTGAGTTTGACCGAGTGACCAACGGCATCCTTTCTCTCAACCGCCTGACTAAACTAGGCATCGACTACGGTCTTCTGACGGATGAATTTGTGGCTGCGCTATCCAGATCACACGCAGGGCAGATTAGTAAAGTAAAACTAGTCATAAGCGGGTTAAAGGATTGCCACTTGCCTAAGATCTCACACGAATGTTGGTTAAAATTGGTATGTAATTCAAGGAAACATTTTCAACTTTTATTCGGACATGTTTCATTCTAATTTTATATCCCAACTTTTTCTAACTTTAACTCCGTCTCTTGAGTATAGCAATACGACTATCTCCAAATATATTTTTAGAACGTTGTCCCGCCTACGATGCCACATACAATAGCTACAGCAAATTGTTCTATCCACATGTTCTATCTATCTATCCAAATTGTTCTATCCACATATTTTCTGTAGTATAAATACAGTTCTACGCCATAATGGGTGACATCAGGGTAAATATTTAGCATACACATAAGTTTCTTTGTACTAGTGAAGGAGATTTACTGCTACATATTTAAGTATAATTATTCATGCTTTTCTTTCTGGTATGTTTACTTTGCCTTTGCCTACCAAGAACTACAAGACAGAATTTGTTTGATTTTGCATTAGTCTCTCCTAGATGAGTTGCAGCCAGCAGCTGTTTTTCCTGGGATGAGTTATATTATTCTGTCGACTGCAGGGGCGGAACTACAGTGCCGCCAGACCCCGCAATGCGGGGGGGGGGGGGGGGCATGCCATTAAGGGGCCCACAGCCGACCATAATAATTTTTTGTAGTTAAAAAAAATAATTTTCTTGCATTTTTAAGTTGACGGTAAAAGCTTTTGTAAATAACAAACAGATCTACTACAGTAATTATGTTATACAGTAACTAACACATGCTGTTGCGTAAAAAAAAATGTATATATATGCATGAGTTGTAGTGTGAAAGATAGACAAACGCTCAAAAGACTTTCATGATATTTCCTTTTTACTTTCTCGTATATACGAAGTATAGAGAAAGTCTTGTAATCGTGCAAAAAAAAAAATCGAGATTTTTGCAAATCTCGACGTTTTACATCTCACTGATACGGAAAAACATAATTTTGCAATCTTGTCCGTATGTCTGTGTGTCCGTGTGTGTGTGTGTGTGTGTGTGTGTGTCCGTGTGTAAACACGATAACTTGAGTACCGTTACAGCTAGGTTGATGAAATTTCATATACAAGTATTATATCAAAATCGTAGATCCGTATCAACTTTTGAGCGATTTCGGATAACCGGAAGTGGTACTTTTTCTACTTTGAATTTTTCAAAAGCCTATAACTTGAGTACTATTTCAGATAGATAAATGAAATTTCACATGTAAGTAAAAGATCTAATTCTCTACCTTCTGTTAAATTTTGAGTAATTTCCGTTGACCGGAAGTAGTACTTTACGCTACTTCCGATTTCTCAAAAAACTAATGTAAATTTATAAAGTACTAAGACTATTGCGCACTATTATACACACCTTTATTAGGCGTTCGCTTGGTGCGCAATTGTTTTTTACTGAGATTCTATTCTATTTTTAAAAGTTTCAGTATTTAAAATGGATTAAAGATCATAACTATATCCCCAGTTACCATCCCCTGTTGTTTTATATAAGAATATTCGAGAAAGTTTAGGGGAGATCACTACCGTTTTATTTTAAATAGTTAAAAAGGGGTGCTCATAAGCTCCTTTTAATATATTTGTACTAAACAAATAAAAAAGCAATTACTTTTCTTAATTATTATTTTTAAAAAATACATACTAAAGAATGACATAACAAAAGATGGTAATATATATAAAAGAAATAATTTACATAAAAAAACATAAAAGTAAACATAACACGAGAAACCATTACACATTCACATACAAAGCTTTCACGTTTCATATTCTTTTGACCAGCTGATGTAACTAGAGACTAGGCAGTATTACAGTAAACATAATGAATAAACTAGATCTAGTTCTAAATCAAAAAAAAAAACAACCAAAAACAAAATTCAAAACAGAATTCAAAAAAGATTTATTTTTTTCAAAACCCGATCAGGCCAGGAATGAGTATCCAATGTTTGTATTCTGTGTTTATATATATATATATATATATATATATATATATATATATATATATATATATATATATATATATATATATACATTGAGGGCCCAGAATTTTTTTTTCGGGGTGGCCCTTTTTTTCTAGCTCCGCCACTGGTCGACTGGATGTAATTTAGTACATCATTTAAAGCAATATGAAGATCTGATGTTGACTTCAATTGTTTTTAACCTACACCCCATCCGAAAAATCTCTCTAGAGATATCTGTTGCTAAGTATAGTATAAGAACAGTTGTGAAGAGGTTTGTTTTGTTAATATATTTTATTTACATAAACCCAAAGTTTCAACCTACTGGTATCGGAGGCTCGATGTCTAGGGACAGCAACGCATCTAGGAGAGAAATCGGATGCCTTGTGGTTTTCTCTTGGATGGATATTTCCAAGAAAATCCGAAAACAAAAACAGGCTAAAATTGGCGTTAAGCCTATATGGCGCATAACAGGTTGACACATAATACTCTATGGTGTTTGAGAAAATCCCTTATAATATTACAAATAAGAACGGAGAAGAAGAATTAGTTTGTCCATGATTGAAAACGAATGAAATTTTAAGTGTAATTCTCTCTTTTGACATGATCAGACTAAGGCTTGCCCAAAAATGAAAGTTGCCTTTAATTTGGATGTCTGGGTTTTAGACTATTCACAATCTAACATGGATATATTAGATCCTGCCTTACCTATCTACAAGCTGAGGCTGACTTATGGGTTAAGATACGATGTTGATTTCTGGAACTACGATTATGCTAGTGTCAAGCTGAAATATATCGTCAAACATTTCAGGTGGGTGAGACACGATGTGTGCCTGTGTGTGTATGTTGATGCGTCTGTTCATGTGTGCCAGTATGTGTGTTTATGTGTGCCAGTGTGTGTATATGTGTTTCTATGTGTGTGTTGATGTGTGCAAGTGTGTGTGCATATATGTGCTAGTGTGTGTGTTTATGTGTGCCAGTGTGTGTATATGTGTCTGTGTGAGTATTGATGTGTGCAAGTGTGTGTTCAAGTGTGGAAGTGTGTGTGTTTATGTGTGCCACTCTGTGTGTAAATGTGTGCAAGTGTGTGTGTGTGTGTTTACGTGTGCCAGTGTGTATATATGTGTGTGTCTATGTGTGTATATGTGTGCCAGTGTGTCGGGTAAGTGTGCCAGTGTGTGCAGATGTGTGCCAGTGTGTTTATATGTGTTCCTGTGTGTGTGTGTTTACGTGTGAAAGTGTGTGTGTGTGTTTACATAGTGCTGATCACATTATCCCTTCATATGTGAGGTAACAGAAACTGGTGAACTCTACTTCACTTTTCCCATGGACCGCCGAGTTCGATAAGGGAGGTTTCATTTAGTAAAATTTATTGAACGATAAACTATAAGCCCTACCGCTTCCCGTGTATTTGAATCAGTGAAAAACATGATTTTGTGAATTTGATGCTTAGAAATCTCGTTTATTGATGCTGTGATGCTGTATTTCGAATGAATTGAACATGGAGGGGGGGGGGGGAGGAAGAGGGTATTTGAAATGCGATGGGAGTCGGCGTTGTAGAGTCGGTAAAGTTCATGATTGCTAAACCGAAAAGTCTCGAGTTCGAACCCTCGGGCAGATGAAGCTCGTTAGCTGGGGACAGCCACTCTTCTAGAAGAGACAACTTAAAATTCAAACAACTGCTGCCTTGTAGTTTGTTCTTGGTTGGACAAAGTCTATGGAAGCAAATCCAAATAAACCGGGAGTGATCTCCCCTAAACTTTCTCGAATATTCTTATATAAAATAACAGGGGATGGGAACTCGGGCTATAGACTTCTAGACATGATTTTTAATCCATTTTAAATACTTAAAGTTTTAAAAATAGAATAAAATCTCGTAGACAAATTAATTGCACACCAAGTGAACGCGAATAAAAAAGCGCATAATAGTGCGCAATATTATTAGTACTTTTAAAATTTACATTAGTTTTTTGAGAAATCGGAAGTAGCGTAAATAAGTACTTCCGGTCAACGAAAAATTCTCAAAATTTGACAGAAGGTAGAGAATTAGATCTTTTACTTACATATCAAATTTCATTTATCTATCTGAATAAGTACTCAAGTTATAGGCTTTTGAAAAATTCAAAGTAGAAAAAGTACCACTTCCGGTTATCCGAAATCGCTCAAAAGTTGATACTTATCTACGATTTTGATAAAATACTTGTATATGAAATTTCATCAACCTAGCTGTAACGGTACTCAAGTTATCGTGTTTACACACGGACACACACACACACACACACACACACACACACACAAACATACGGACAAGATTGCAAAATTATGCTTTTCCGTATCAGTGAGATGTAAAACGTCGAGATTTGTAAAAATCTCGATTTTTTTTTTGCACGATTACAAGACTTTCTCTATACTTCGTATATACGAGAAAGTAAAAAAAGAAAAGCAGGCTGAAATCGGAGTCAATGGCCTCAATGGCGTATAACCAGTTGACACGTATACTTAATTATGTTGGAGGGGATCCCTTCCAACACTAAAATTAAGAACGAAGAAGAAGAAGAAATGCGACAGTAAAAGCTAATCTAGTGTAAACCGTTCCTTTTACAGGCACTGTCTTGTAAAACTGGAGGCCGATATATTCAACGAAGAAGACGATTTACTTTGTAGCATATATTACAATCCTGAAGTAATTGACGGGGCAGTTGTACACCTTGTGAAACAGTGTTACCGTTTAATGCAAGTAAAGGTAAGGTAATTGTCAACATTGACTTTGTCTAATGATGTTCAATTGTCAGCTTATGTAAGTTGTAATTGTAAGGTAACTGTCAACATTGGCTTTGTCTAATGATGTTCAACTGCCAGCTTATGTTAGTTGTAATTGTAAGGTAATTGTCAACATTGACTTTGTCTAATGATGTTCAATTGTCAGCTTATGTTAGTTGTAATTGTAAGGTAATTGTCAACATTGACTTTGTCTAATGATGTTCAACTGCCAGCTTATGTTAGTTATAATAGTCAACATTGGCTTTGTCTAATGATGTTCAATTGTCAGCTTATGTAAGTTGTAATTGTCAACATTGACTTTGTTTACTGATGTTAAACTGTCAGTATTTGTTATTTGTATTGTAAGACAATACTCAACATTAGCTGAATGCAAAGGTGTGCTGGATAGAGGGCCAAACAATGAATAACATAGGGGCAGGCTCAGTCAATTTGACTTCAGTTAAACAGCTCAATTAGTCATATAGGCTCACTGAGGTATATAGAATTAGTTAATTAAATAGGCTTAGTTAGTCATATATGCTTATTTAGTCACATAGGCTTAATTAGTCATGCTGGATTGATAGATATAACCATACGAGTCGTTATGTATATTAGTGGGAATGGTGTAGCTCTAACGTTTGAATAGAACCAATAGAAGAACTATCTTTGATATTGAGGAGAGATGAAGTGCAATATACACCGCATAAACCATTTAGATTCTACGTTAACTTTGTTACATTTAGCTCCTGTGTAAAATTTAAATGTACATTTTAAAAAATAATTCACATGCACAAATATTTGTAGTTTGTTGAAAGAATTATTTTTAAAAGTAAGCTATGTTTTAATATTAAAATGAACTGAGTTATTTTAAACTAACACCCGTCTGTACCTAACACGGCAATGTTACTACCATTCCGTAGTTCTCAGCTCTCTTCGAAAACCCTGAGAAGGTTGAAACTGCTGTCAAGAAGGTGACGCAGGCGAGGCTAATGCGAGAGATGAGAACGAGCATCAGCAAGAAACGACGTAACACTGAACAGGCTAGTGGCCCGGGTACGAACGGATCAAATCCGCAGACATCCAAGAAGATCAAGTTGCAGGATACTGCGACTTGGATCTTATGCAAGAAATGTTTTTAAATACTCTAGCTCTGAGTTATTTGTAACGGGAATGCTAACAATTACTTATAATCCCACCTTTTTTTTTTACTTTATTTTATCTGAAATCTATTTTTATACTCCTCTTATTTTACTAAGGCTTAGCGTTTAAGAACATAATTTGTCATTGTTTTATGAAGAATATCAACTAAAATACATCGATGTTATCATTCTGAATCGAAAGGTAAAAAAAAAAAACATTTTGAATAACAAATAAAGAAAATATTGCAGACAAAAAAAGAATCAAGACTACGTTTTTCTAACAACCCATGTCGTGAATCTGGTGGAGTGTAGTCTAGAAGATCATTATTGTGAAACCAAAACTCAAGAATGGGATCCACACTGCATCACAACTCTAGGGGGACACGATTTTATACTAGTGTTTCTTCGTGGAGGAGGGGGGATAGGGAGGGGGGGGGGGCTAAAATTTCCGGGGTGGTGGGACGGACATTGGTGAAAACGTGCGGTAATTATTTATTATATTATAGTGCTAATAATGTCGTTTATTTCTATAGCCATATGGTGCAAGATTTTGTTTAGCTACTGCTGAGTACTCATCAAATCTGAGTATGCTCAGACTTCTGGGTGGATGTTTTGGGTCGTTGATAATTGATTATTGTCTAGTCACATGCACTACTTAATACGTGACGTGGTCTAAGCAGTAGAGCGCTAGACTGCTATTTCGGAAGTCATTAGTTCGAATCCGCGTGCAAGTCAGTAGAACGTTTCTGAGTCCACCCAGCTCTGATGGGTACCTAAATCATGTTAGGGAAAGTAAAAGCGGTTGGGCAAAATACTTACCACACCTTCATTTCATATGCTGAGGTCAAGAAAAATATGAACTGTACTTCACGTGTACAATGGATCGCTAGGTCTAAAGAGGATTCTTTACTTTACTTTTACTATTTAATTCAGCTGTCAATCTGTAATTTTTGTTATCTTAAAGGGTTAACTTTTTATACATATTTTTTATCTAAAAATAGCCTCGTCACCTAGATCTATCAAAGTTTAGGGCGAGAATGTTTATAAAAAAATTACAAACTTAAACAATAAAATTTACACAACAATGAGAGAATTACAACTACAGATGATTATTCAAGAAAAAGAGTGCCAGTTTCTAGATTAAACTTTAACAAAGACAGTGAAAATGTTAACAATTTCGCACATTACTTAATCGCATTTTTGCACCGGTGTGCACGATTCAATAAAAAGGAAACCATTTTGAAGTGTCGTATGACATCATTTTATTTGTGTTGATATTTTCTCTGAGTCGCCTAGGACGTTTCTGTAAGATAAAAATGGAAGCATATCAAGTAGAGAAGACGACGATTTCGACGTCGACAGCAGTAAAGAAGAACAGTAAGATGGAGGTTTTAATGAATTATTTAAACAGAAAATCAGAAGGCGCGTTATTTTTAGATAAGTTACCACCGGAAGTATTGACGAAAATCTTCAGTTTTATTCGCGATAAAAACGAGCTTCTGCGACTAGCGAGTGTGTGTCGGACTTGGCGGGATTTGATCCACACCGCACCGCAGCTGTGGCGCAACATCCGTCTTAAGCTGTGCTGCGACTGCGAGTGTGTGCACCGGAAGCGAGCCCTGTCGTGCGTCCAGCGGTTCGGGTGCCACTTCCGGGATTTGTCGCTCTCCTGTGTACATCACAATAACCACGTGTCCTGCAAATTCATGGCGATGGACTTCCGGAAAGTTTTGCTCGGCTTGCATCAGACCACTCTGACGTCATTGAAGATAACTGACCTGGGGTTATCGGGTGCGAAGTTAAGCACCGTGTCTGGAATTGCTCATGTTCTGACGCGCATGCTGTCCAGTCTGAATTGCCTGAAGTCCTTCCAAATGTCGTCTGCGCAATGGCCGCTCGACGAAGGCATCAAGGTCATCGACACCGTCTTGACCGTGTCCAGAAAAACTTTAAAGTCGCTGTTCATCGACGGTTTTTTTGAGCCGACCTCGTTGGCAGATCGACCGGCCGAGTTTGACCAAGTGACCAACGGCATCTTGTCCCTCCACCGTTTGACCAAACTGTCCATTGACTACGGTCTTCTGACCAGCGCTTTTGTGAGTGCGATGTCTGAATCCCACGCTGGGCAGCTGACGACTTTACAGTTGGTTATAAGTGGGATCATGGACCGCTACTTGCCTAAGGTCTCTCACAAGGCCTGGTTGAGCCTGGTATGTAAATCAGATGGTACTTGTTGAAACTGTTGTCTTGACAAATTTACTTGTAGCATCCACAAAGAAGGGACGGGGTGGCCTAGGGGTAGAGAGCTGGACTTTTAACTTGTAAGTCTCGAGTTAGAATCCGGGTTCATGTCAGTAGACCGTCTCTGAGTCTACCCAGCTCTGATGGGTACCTAACTCACGTTAGGGAAAGTAAAGGCGGTCGAGCATAGTGCTGACCACACCATCCCTTCATATGCCGAGGTCACAGAAACCAGTGAATACTTCACTTACCTCGTAAGTTTGAAACGGAACTACTTTTGTACCCACAAAAGCTAAATAAATCACCGCAAAAGAAGACAACTTTAGTACATATATATGATAGCTTTTCTATACTGTAAATCCTTAAAATAATATTCCCAGGTATCCTAATTAGATTTCAGGTGTATGAGAAGAGTAAAGTAAAATTACCCTTTTAGAACCTGCATGTCCATGGTACAAGTGAAGTAGAGTTCATACATTTCTGTGACCTCGGTATATTTAGGGATGGTGTGGTCAGCAATTTGCCCAGCTGTCTTTAATTTTTCTAACATGAGTCAGGTAGCCATTAGGCTGGACTCAGGGACGTTCCACTGATTTGAACTCGAAAACAATTTCGATAGTTCGTGCTAGCATTCTAGCGCTAGACCACGCCGTCCTCCTACTTGAACAAGCGGGGGTTAATTGGGCTGGTAAGTAGGTCACCAACCAGTTCTATGGCTCATGCTGGTTTTATTGAGCCGTAGAACTGGTTGGTGGCCTACTAACCAGCCCTATTATATCTGTTAACCTGTGTTATTGTGTTCCTACTTGACGGCCTTTAAATAAGAACCAAATCGCAATGTCCCTTTTTGATTCGACCAGACTAAAGCTTGCCCGACACTGAAAGTGGCGTTTAACGTGGATATCTGGATTCTAGACCCTTCACATTCTGACCTGGATATATTGGACCCCGCCTTGCCTATCTATAAGCTGCGACTGCTGAATGGAGAAATGTACTTGATATTGACTTGGCAAGCGTACATGATATTTTATGTCCTGCGGTATATTATGAACAACTTCAGGTTAGTGACGGACTTGGCGCGGTATTGTGGGTGAAAGGATGTCCGGTATGAAAAAAAAACCTGTTCAGAAACCCTCCGCGACATAAACCCCCTGGACATAACCCCCCCCCCCCCCTCCAACATAAACCCCCTAGTCATAAACCCCCTAGTCATAAACCCCCTAGACATAAACACCCTAGACATAAACCCCCTAGTCATAAACCCCCTAGACATAAACCCCCTAGACATAAACCCCCTAGTCATTAACCCCTTAAACATAAACCCCTAGTCATAAACCCATTGTTTGTAAATCCCTTAGTCATAAACCCCATAGTCATAAACCCCATAGTCATAAACCCCCCGGGGAGGTTTTTGTCCGGAGTGTTTATGTCAGGGGGGGGGAGGTTGACCGGTAAAATGTAACTTGACTTAATCATTCTTTACTCCGTGTGGAGCATAAGACCTCAACCATACCCTTCCATTATGTTCGGTCCCCGGCTGTTGATTTTGTAACCTCCCAAGACATCAAGGTCTCCGTAAAATTCGGCTGTGTGGGTGTCTGTGTGTTGGTTTGTGTGGTTGTCTGGGTTTTGTGTGTGGGTGTGTCTGCGTGTGGGTGTCTGCGTGTTTATAAGCACGCCGTGTGTGTGTTTTGAATTGTTGATGTAGGTGGGTTAATAGTTGCAGTGTTGCTGTGTTTATTTAAGGTGTGTTTGTGTGCTGATGTGTGTCATTGCCTGTTTGTTTACGTGGGTCAATGTGCAATGATGCTGGCTCTGATAGTTATTTAACAAAACTTGGGAAAGGGAAGTAGCTTTGGTAAACCTAGCGCACCTGATATAACTAAAATACAAAACATTGGTGTTTGCAGTAACACACTGGAACAGTTTTCCGGAGACTTGAGTGACACAGATGAAACCATTGATGCGGACTTTCTTCAATTTGTAAAGAAATGTCAACGTCTACACTACATAAAGGTAAGTACTACCACACTATAAGTACCTCTGGTTCTACGTTTGACTAGCCTAATACCTAAGAAAACTTCGGAACCATGCAAATCTAAGAACCCCATCTCCGCTCCACAAAATTAGAACCACAACCCATACCCACACCATTGAATTCGAACAACCACACCTCCCCAACCACACAAGATTAACAACTACACCTCTTCTACCCCACAAAATTATAACCACTTCTTGCCCCACACCATTAAAACCACCCCCAACCCACAATATTAACAACCACACTCCCCAACCCACAATATTAACAACCACACCTCACCAACCCACAATATTAACAACCACACCTCCCTAACCCACACTATTAACAACCACACCGCCCCAACCCACAATATTAACAACCACAACTCCCCAACCCACAATATTAACAACCACACCTCACCAACCCACAATATTAACAACCACACCTCCCCAACCCACAATATTAACAACCACACCTCCCCAACCCACAATATTAACAACCACACCTCCCCAACCCACAATTTTAACAACCACACCTCCCCAAACCCACAATATTAACAACCACACCTCCCCAATCATACAATATAACAACCACACCTCCCCAACCCACAATATTAACAACCACAACTCCCCAACCCACAATATTAACAACCACAACTCCCCAACCCACAATATTAACAACCACACCTCCCCAACCCACAATATTAACAACCACAACTCCCCAACCCACAATATTAACAACCACACCTCACCAACCCACAATATTAACAACCACACCTCCCCAACCCACAATATTAACACCCACAACTCCCCAACCCACAATATTAACAACCACACCTCCCCCAACCCACACGATTAACAACCACACCTCCCAATCCCACAATATTAACACCCACAACTCCCCAACCCACAATATTAACAACCACACCTCCCCCAACCCACACGATTAACAACCACACCTCACCAACCCACAATATTAACAACTACACCTCCCCAATCTACAAAATTATCACCACACCTCCTCCACAACAAGATTATCACCACACCTCCCCCACCTACATGATTATCACCACACCTCCCCCACCACAACATTATCACAATACCTCAGAATAAAACACCCCCTCCCCCCTCTTATACTACAGGTCTCTGCGAATTTCTACGAGCCGGACACGGTAAAGACTGTCAAGAAACTGGTACAAGAAAGACGGCGCCGGTACGACAAGAGGAAGACCCTGGAGGTGCCAGAGAAACGTGCCAAGACAACTCCAGCATAGCCTGACATAGCCGACTCGGCAACGGAGAAAGTTAATCAATTTTTTAATTTTTTTTTAATTAGAGCGTGGACCATTTTTATGACCATAATTATCAACACAACTTAGACGCTTGAACCTAATCGTTTCCGTCAGTATATAATTTAAATCTCTGCAAGTCTACAATTGTCTGGTCTGTGCTTGTAAGACCGTTACATTAAGACAAGTTAAAAAAATAACTAATTTTTTATTGATATAACTTACGACTACGACGACTTATATTTGATACGTTTCTTATTATTTTATTTTTGATACTTATCTTAAAGGTTTTACAAATAATCTACACCGTATATTATGACGTATAATTTTGATACTATTATAATATATTTTTATTATGTTTTATATTTTATATATAACAAAAAGATTCACTTTTAAAATCTTTTTGTTGTTTTTATAATAAAACTTTAAATAAACTATACAAATGGTGTTATGTTTTGTAATTTAAATTTTAAAAAAAAATGGGAATTCGTAGCAACATCACGTAAAATAGTAATTAGTATACTGTATTGTAATTTCAACTCTGAGAACCTATGTTGGCTCTTTTTAATCTATGTTCAATCCATGTAGCTTCTTTAGGCAAAAGAGGGAAAGGACAACAAAAACGCCAGTAACCCTGTGGTGAATAGCTACACAGCTAAACGCCATTCACCCACGAGTGAAAAGCTACACAGCTAAACGCCAGTTACCCACTAGTGAATAGATACACAGCTAAACGCCAGCCACCAAACGGTGAATAGCTACACAGCTAAACACCAGTTACCCACCGGTGAATAGCTACACAGCCAAACGCCAGTCACCCACTAGTGAATAGCTACACAGCCAAACACCAGTCACCCAACGGTGAATAGCTACACATCTAAACGCCAGTTACCCACCGGTGAATAGCTACACAGCTAAACGTCAGCCACCCACTGGTGAATAGCTACACAGCTAAACGCCAGTCACCAAACGGTGAATAGCTACACAGCTAAAAGCAAGTCACCCACTGGTGAATAGCTACACAGCTAAACGCCAGTCACCCACTGGTGAATAGCTACACAGCTAAACACCAGCCACCAAACGGTGAATAGCTACACAGCTAAACGCCAGTCACAAACTGGTGAATAGCTACACAGCTAAACGTCAGTCACCCACTAATAAATAGCTACACCGCTAAACGCCAGTCACCAAATTGTGAATAGCTACACAGCTAAACACCAGTCACCAAACGGTGAATAACTACACTGGTAAACACCAGTCATCCACTAGTGAATAGCTACACAGCCCAGGCAAACACGGACAATTTTCTCTAATCATACAACTCATTAAAGTGAACCCCCCAGAGGAGACGACACTTCACTTCTTCTAGGGCTCGTATCAGATTTGAAAGAAAATGGAGTAAAATGTATTGGACAAGGGGGAATTAGCCGGACTGGGGGGGGGGGGGGGGGAGGTGGGGGAGGGGATGATGATTTTTTGGTTAGATTCAAGTAGAAATCGATAAACTGCCCCATCTCTCCCCCCTCCCCAGCCGTTCGTTATTTTCTCAGATGCTATGTCTGGCTTATACAAACTTATAATTTCTTAGTAAGGTTCGACAACTCTTGTGTTTTTAAATATCCTGGGTTACTTTAACCTGTTTATAAGAGGTCGATAATCTTTACGTACTTTTGTTGGAGAAAAAATGAGTTCAAGTGTACAGATTATAGATTTTGTACACACGTGTACTGTAGCTACAGAAGTGTACATTTTGGCAAGGCAGTTAAAATAGTGTGTACGTTTTACATGAGAACTGGCGTTGGGTTACAGAGGTTCTCTGACCGTCTTGAAATTAATTTCTGATATTTTTGGTAAAAAAAAAAGTTAGCAGCTACGTGTGCGTATTTATAATATAGTTAGGCATTGTACATATTTATAAGGTAGTTAATGTTGTGTACATGTGTAACGTAGTTAGGGTAGTGATATGCTATCGGTAAGGAACAAAATAAGACTTCTGTGCCTGGACATTTCATAAAATGGACGAGAAGTGGAGGCGTGGTTGGACGGTAACGCGTACAGCTGCTGACCCGAAAGTCTCAAGTTCAGATCCCGAGCTTGAGTCGGTAATACATCCCTGAGTCTACCCAGCTCTGGTGAATACACAGCCAAAGAAAGTAACAAGGATTATTTGAGAGATTTCTAGCTTAGTCTCAAAACTAAACTCGTTCTACATAATGTCAACATTTCTCAGTTAACCTGTAATTTATTTATTTCAAAGACACTGACTATTTTTCTTCCACAAGAAGAAAGACAAGGACATTATTCTTTTCCAGAAGACTCTAAATGGTATCTGTTCCTCGTTGTATTAGGTTCCCAATTAAAATTGATCGCGCGCAAGTTGACACTCCAAATGACAACAAATCGACAATGTCAAATGTCAGAGCTCATCGCATGTTATACAGGGCTCAATCTGACATGTCAGATGTCTTGGTGAGTACTTAAATGACACGCAATTCTGGGGTGGACGATGAACTTTTAGGATGAATGTAGACAAGGATAGATAAAGTCACGTTGCGTTTCAGACGTTGAATGTCCTATTGCAGGGGTCTCCAAACTTTTCAGCTCGAGGGCCGCATTGACTATCAAATATCAGTTCGGGGGCCAGAGTTTCTTTAAGGCATCTCTTCAGGGTCGTAGCGCCCCCTACCCCCCCCCCCCTAACGAAATATAATGTATATAGAAATATATACAAATTTCAAGTGTCTCTAAGGAAGTCATTTTCTTGCAGTTCAATGACCTCCCGCTGCAGTTCATCTTTGCAACTGGCCACTTTTGCTTCAAATGGGCTTTGAAACAGTCTCACTTCTTCTGCCTATGAATCCAAGTCAGAAAACCGCTACTGAAACTGCAGCTGGAGGTCTTTAATGATCTCGTATGTAAATGACGTGGGGAACTCAGTGGTTGTTTTAGCCTTAAAGACCTTGCACTGCTGAAAGTGTGTCAAGTTGTTAGCTTGTACTTGTTCCAAAAACATGACAAGTTTGTATCTAAAGGCCTTTATGTGGGCGTATAGATCAGAAACTAGATTTCACTCTGTTGCCGTTTTAGGTTCAGAAAATTTAAATGACTAGTTATGTCTGCAACAGAGGCCAATTTCTATACCCACTCTTCATCAGACAAAAATGGCTGTGACTTGCCTTTACGAACAGGAAGTCACCTATTTCTTTTCTTAGATAGGCTACTCTGCTCAGAATTTTTTCGCAAAATTAGCAATCTTACGGATGTGAAATATGGTAAATCGTGCGTTTTTGTGCTCGTCTCTGAACTATCTATGGTTAGATATCCTCTTTGGTAACAGTGTCATTCATTGTATGTAGGGAAGCCAGCTCTTGTGTTATGTTCAGGTCTTCACCCACATCTCTAATGAGCCCAACGACTCATCCATTGCAATTGAAAAATGGCGGAACTTCCTTGAATTTTTCGCTATTAGAGTCGCTATGTTTTCACCAATGTCTGCAACACGGCGAGTAATTGTATTTGCACACAAAGCTACATTTTCAAATAGTTTTGAATTTTCTGTGCAAAGCTTCTCAGCCACCTCCAAAAAAGATTTATTCAGTAGACAAAAAGATCGTCGCGGGCCGGATAAAATGACCTCGCGGGCCGCATCCGGCCCGCGGGCCGTAGTTTGGAGACCCCTGTCCTATTGCATAGACTGAGCGGGTCGGTAAAGGTCAAGGTTGCTAAACCGAAAAAGTCTCGAGCTCGAACCATCCGGCAGATGAGACTCGTTAGCTGGGGACAGCCACTCTTCTAGGAGAGACAACACCAAAATCAAACAACTGCTTCCTTGTAGTTTGTTCTTGGTTGGACAATGTCTATGGAAGCAAAGCCAAAAAGAAAAGCAGGCTGAAATCGGAGTCAATGGCCTCAATGGCACATAACCAGTTGAAACGTAATCCTGAATTGTGATAGAGGCGTGGTCGAGTCGGCAAAATCTCATGGTTGATAAATTCGAAAAAAGGTCTCGAGTTCAAACCCCTGGCTCGATCCCTCCCAACACTAAAAATTAAGAACGAAGAAGAAGAAAAAGAAGATAGTCTGAGCTACTGTCTCTCTTTCTCTCTCTCTCTGTATATATATATCTCGTAAACAGTAATTACCGGATGATGTTTTGGCCAAGCAGAACAAAAAAGGGGAAAGAACTAAGAAGTTTTGTTGACTGCAGTTGGTCGTGTGGGTTTTTGTCAGGATAGCCGCCCCTTACATTTTAGCATCAATCTACGCAGGTTTCGAACTCCGGACTTTCGAGGTGACAAATAATTAAATACTAACAACATCAAAGAAAATAATGCAACGCACGTGTTATACCACTAGACCACCCCGCCTCCATCGCAGACTGATCTATTAGATACATGTATTTTGTACAACACACATTTTGTTTTTCGCTCGTATGAAATAAAAAACAAATATAATATAATGCAGATTCTATTGTTTTGTTTTCTTTGCCGGGTTTAAAGGAAACTATATTTAACGTTCACAAGGGTAATAAATTATCATTCAAACATTAAAAGACAACAACGATTTTAACAATGAGTGCAACACAATTCAGAAAAAAAAATCATGATTAAAAATTCTTTGTAAAAATTCAGGGATTCGTTCCCACGCCATTAATGTTTAACATTTCTTACAGTTGTGAAAATCTGTGATATTTATTATACCAAGCTGAATTGAGATTATACAAAGCGGATTCCACAAATCAGGCAGCAAAGAATGTCGCGTGCGTGACGTAACAAAAAACAACAACATCACGTCATCATCTAAGCTAGACCCGTCGGGAAATCTAGGAAATCAGAAATAGGGTTTACAACGTACAAGGTAAAAACAACAGCGCAGTAAAAATCAAAAGCGAATAAAGATTAATTTAAATAATTACAGCATCAAAGAAAATAACGACAGGAAGAGTAAGAGAGAGAGAGAGAGAGAGTGGGATTGGGAGTGGGAGAGAGAGAGAGAGAGAGGGGGGGGGGGGAAGAAAAGGGAAAGAAAGGGAAATCAGAAATAGGGTTCACAATGTACAAGGTAAAAACAACAGCGCAGTAAAAATCAAAAGCGAATAAAGATTAATTTAAATAATTACAGCATCAAAGAAAATAACGACAGGAAGAGTAAGAGAGAGAGAGAGAGAGAGAGAGAGAGAGGGAGAGAGGGAGAGAGGGGGGGGGGGAAGGGAAAGAAAGGAAAATCAGAAATAGGGTTCACAATGTACAAGGTAAAAACAACAGAGCAGTAAAAATCAAAAGCGAATAAAGATTAATTTAAATAATTACAGCATCAAAGAAAATAACGACAGGAAGAGTAAGAGAGAGAGAGAGAGAGAGAGAGAGGGAGAGAGGGAGAGAGGGGGGGGGGAAGGGAAAGAAAGGAAAATCAGAAATAGGGTTCACAATGTACAAGGTAAAAACAACAGAGCAGTAAAAATCAAAAGCGAATAAAGATTAATTTAAATAATTACAGCATCAAAGAAAATAACGACAGGAAGAGTAAGAGAGAGAGAGTGGGAGTGGGAGAGAGAGAGAGGGGGGGGGGGGGAAAGAAAAGGGAAAGAAAGGGAAATCAGAAAAATCGACACACAAAAAAAAACTAACTATATATCTCCTAGCTCTTTCGCTTCGCTCTTAGGAAAATAAAATGGCCCTTTATTGGTTGTAAAAAAAAATCGATACCGCGACAAGTACAGTTTGGTGTGCACGAGAGTTTGGTTAAGGTAAAGGTTGACATGGCTAGGAAAAAAAATAATCTGGGGGTGGTGGGGGGGGGGGTGGGGGTATCTCCATCTGAGGGGCGGGGCGAGGGTTAGCCAGATATATTACCAAATGGCAGGCAATGGAGACAAGAAAATGGTTTCCGGAAAATGAGATATCTGAAAGAGAAAAGCCATTATTGTACGTCTGTCTGTGTTGCTGAACGCGGCAGACAGACCGATGTCTGTACACACAGACAGACAGACCGATGTCTGTCTGGTACTGATGTTTGAGTCTGTGGATAAGAGCATTGGAAGGAATGCCTGTTAGGCTGTTGTTGCGAAATAGCAACAATGGTGTTCGCGTTTTATAACGTAGTAAGTACTAATAAAAGGAAGGCGCTTTCTAAGGTGTGTATGATTGCTGTGTGATGCAGAGTGCCGAATAGGTTATGTTGTTGAGTGTGTTGTACGTTATGATTTTGATTATGGTGTTATACATGATAAGGACTTCGGAATTTAAAAAAAAACAACATTTTTTTTTAAACAAGCCCAAAAATAACGCACATGTAAGGCTTTACGCAGTTTTTTGTAGTTGAAATAATATTAGTTTTGTCTCTGATTATTGTAATATAAATGTATTGTATCGTCAGATTAAACAAAGCCGAACAGCATTCCCCACCCCTTCTCTCCCTTAACTAGAGGTGTGCACTCTTTAGAACTAGCTACACATTGAGATGGTCGGAAGTCTTCGAAGCAATCTCAAGACGTAGAGGTAAATAATCATTCGCTTTACATTTCGACCATACGCCCTATAAAATACATGTAATCTAAACTAACCTTAATAGTTAATAATTACTAGAGGCCAATTAAATGTCGAATACCAACCTTTTATTTAGAAATATTCCAGTAAGCTAAGAATTTTGAGTGTTTGTGTAATATTGTTTAGCAAATAATATTTATCAAATCCATAAGCAGTTCTATTCGAATTTGTTACATTTTTTCAATAAAATAGTTATTGAATTGCATTTAAAAACCGAGAGAATCCAACAAAATGCAAGCAGTAATGTGCTTTAAAAACAATAGATTGTACTTTCCCTAAATTAAACTAGGTACCCTACTAATCAGAGCTTCGTGGATACAAAAATGCCCTACGTACTCAACGCCGGGATTTGAACTCGAGATTTTCGGGAAAGTAGTCATTCTATAGACCATCAGGGGTCGGCGTGGTCGAGTCGGTAAAGCTCATGGTTGCTAAACCGAAAAGTCTCGAGTTCGAACCCTCGGGCAGATGAGGCTCGTTAGCTGGGGACAGCCACTCTTCTAGGAGAGACAACTATGGAAGCAAATCCAAAAAGAAAAGCAGGCTGAAATCGGAGTCAATGGCCTCAATGGCGCATAACCAGTTGACACGTAACGTTTAACTGTGTTGGAGGCGTGGTCGAGTCGGCTATAAGCTCATGGTTGATAAATTCGAACAAAGTCTCAAGTTCAAACCCACTGGCAGATAAATCTCGATCCCCTTCAACACTAATAATTAAGAACGAAGAAGAAGAAGAAAGTATAGACCATCCGTCACTGAATGTAGGCCTATATATGTATCTATGTAAATATATATTTACGTGTGTCTGTGAGTATAAAAAAAAACAGTTCCTTTTTCATTTCTCAAAAAAAAAAAAAAAAAAAAAAACTTGGCACAAATAAAAATGGACCAGGAAGTTCATTTATAAAAATATCAGTTACAGGGTTGCCGTTTCTACCGGCTTTGTCCCAATTCAACATTCACATTTTACTACTGCTCATTCTCTCAAGCTATTTGTTTTTATTACAGGTTGTAAGCCGTAATCAGTGTTTAAACACATGATTTCAATAGTGTCTAGTTTTATTTAACTACAGAGCTAAACGTTATTTGTTAGATCATGTTTGTGCAAGCTTAAGGAAGCTGAATGGTCAAAGGATAGAGCTAATCAATGATACAAACTATAGCGTGAGACTTGAACCAAGATAAATCATGAATTATATTCAGAGTTTCTTCCAGGCATCTCTTCGGGGGCGACTGAATCTGACCCCCCCCCCCCCCCCATGAAAAAAAGTCTACCGCCCCCCACCCCCGAGCGAAATGGAATTTATATAGAAAATATACACTTTTAACAGTGTCCGCACCCCCCTCCCGGAAATTTTAGTGCCCCCCCCCCCCCCCCAAAATTTTTTTTTATTTTAAGTGCCCCCACCGTCCCCCGTCCTCCCCCCGGAGAAAAAAAAGAAACACTGATTATATTATTTTTAAATACCATCTTAGAAATATTCCGATAAACAGATACATTATTAAATCTGGCTTTTTTAAATTAATAAAATTTGATATACTTTTACAATAAGCACTAAGCTTGAATATAAATATTGAAGAGAGATTTTTTTTTCACGACGTTGAATTAAAAAAAAAAACGGCTGCCATTTTCTTGTCGGTAATGTCAAGTCCCTCACAGGAGTCCCCAGCTTCCGGTTTACTTGATGAGTGCCCCTTCTTTGTCAGGCTAGACAGACGGGGTTACTTGTGTTCTCTAGAGTAGCGGCCCCTAGGTGGAGGAGGAGGTGGTGGTGGAGGAGGGGGGGGGGGGGGCTATGTGTTGTTGCCAAGTTGCCACCAGTGGATTTATATTGAAAATACATATGTTGGGTTCAGAAAAGGATTTTTTTAAGTAGATAAAGACAATATTGAACTTTAAGCACAGAATAAATATTTTAAAAAAAATAAGAAGAAAATGATTTTTTAAAAGTTTTTTAAGGTAAATCAGAGAAAAAAAATCAATAAGAATATGGCGTTCTGTTTTTAGTGCCTAAAGGTAAAACTAAGAGAACAAGAAACGTATTTACAGCTTACAAAGATCGGGAATTCAAAATATTAAACAAATATAAGACCTAAAATGTTAAGTGTAAATTTAAACGAACATGCATAAAGTCAACAATGACTTCGTTGACTTTTAACACAGAATTTTAAAGTAGAAAAAGAGAGAGAATAAAGTATACATTTATAATTTGTAAATCAATTTGTAATTTGGAGAAAAAAAAAGAAAATAAGATATAGGCATCAATATAGGGCTGGTAAGTAGGTCACCAACCAGTTCTACGGCTCAGTAAAACCTGCATGAGTTATAGAACTGGTTGGTGACCTACTTACCAGCCCTATTGTGAACAGATCAGATTCAAAAAATGTAATAATAAAAAAAGACCTTACCATTCTCTCCTGTCTGTCCATCCCCCTCCCCCTCGTCCGAAGCGTCGTACATATTCATATTCTTATATTTATATCCAGGCATAAACGAGGGGGCGGGGTTTTATCCTGGAAGTGACGTAGTGAGATCACGTGCTACCTTAAACCAACGAATTACTCTTGAGCTTCGTAGACGAGAGGAGCTACCTTCCCTTTTTGTGAAATAATCCGTTCTTGTTTGGGCGAGCTGGACGAGTCTATTCCTTCAGTGAGGGGTGACAGCATTGAAATTTTCGAGAAATCTTTTCTAAAAAGTTGAACAACTACACTAATCATCCCGGGGTAATATTTGTAATCCTTTTATTATCCTACTTCCATAGTTCTATGATCTTGTAGCAATCTTGCAAAAAACTCTAATTTCCACGCATCGTGAATAATTCAATTCCGTATTGGTGGTAAGAGTTTGTAAACTCAACATTGCTATTTTAGAGTTAATTTTTAGCTAAAAGTAATTTCTGAAACAATAACTATAAGATAACACTTTGTTTACAGAAATGAATGTCTGATTTTGTAAGGTGGGGTGGAGAGTAATTTAGGTTAGTAGAGTAGAGGATTAGGCAAAAGAGATATTAAAGGAGATGATTGGAGGTATGGGGGAGGCGAGAAGAATATTGATACTAAAGACAATGAATTATTGCTTATTATTATTATTATGATATTATGTAAATGATTATGGGTTATTATGTACATAATTTGTGGTGTCATGACAACTTGTTTGAAGTTACTTTGAACTGGCCTAATAATAATGACGATTTGACATTATTTAAGGTACTATGTTTCTTGTGATGTTTAGTTGTAGATAATCTAAGTAACAGGTATGAAATATATACTTCGTTTACATCACATCTTGACCATCATACCCCCCTCAATCATGCCCCAGCTCACACCCCGTCCTAAACCTCACACCCACCCCCTCACTCCACCCTCACACACCCACCCCCTCACTCCACACTCACACACCCACCCCTCACCCCACCCTCACACATCCACCCTCACACACACACACACACTCACCCACCCCCTCACCACACCCTCACACACCCACCATTACATATCCGACCTCACATCCCCAGCCTCACCCCCCCCCTCATCCTCACACCCAACCTCATACCCCCACTCCCTCATCCCCACACCTCTCACACCACCACCCCTTTCTATCCACGAGTTATAGTCAAACCTCACAGACATCTCTCCAACAACCTTACGAAAAAGATTTCAGAAAAAAATAAATGGCTCCACGCATTTGATGCAACAATTCGGGGAAAAAGTCGTCACTTTTCTTTCCCTTTTTTAGCACTTTGTAGTGATGTGGCATTCCCATTTTTCATCTTGTCTTGTGTTTCGTTTTTCAGTTCTATTCTTAGTTACGATTTTAAGATCTAATCAAATATGATTCATAGCATTAAAGCTGTTAAGACACTATTTAAAATATATTTATTCATAGTCAAACTATTGAATTTTAAACTTTTAAACGAAAATGGGTTTTGAAACTCTAAACTCGACATTCTGGTATGGCGTTTAACATTGAATCACCATTCAATTACACATTTACATTTTCAGGTTTAAAAAAAATGATATTGAAATTAGACGTTTTGTATTCTGTATAAGTGAACCATCGTCAATGAATAAAAGTACATGTCACAAAGATTTATTACAATTGAAAATCAGTATCAGTCCTTACAAGCCGATTATGAAAAATGTGATAGTAACGCCAATATTGCAAAGCAAACTGTAATTTACAGGCAATTTTTAAAAAAAACTGAGATTACTGCAGTATAAATATTCCAAAGTTTTCATAAATCTGTAAAGCCAAAGACATCCGTATAATTTACAGCTTTACAAACTCAATATATTTTCGTAAATAACATTCGGTTTGGGATTTGTGTTTTGAGAAAGCGTAAACACAAATATTTATTTCCTGACAAATAAAAAAAAATATGTCCAAGATCAAATAAATAAAATATGATCTCTTTTATCAAAGCATGCAGTGTCATCATAACTCACAACAACCGGGGGTGGGGAGTGGGAAGGTGGGCATATAAAAAATAATGTATACCACATCTAAAATCAACAAAATTTTGTCAACACTTTGTGCAACATTTTAGAACACCACGCGAAACTTTAAAAGACTGCTTTAGAGAACACTTTGTCCTGACAAAAACTAAATATATATAATACTGTCAATGGTATCTTTTGTCATGATATATACTTGTCTTGAGATATTTGTCTCTGAATTATTTTGTCCCGAGATCATTTGTCTAGGAGATATTGTGTCTGAGATAATTTGTCTGGGAAATTTTGTATGAGATAATTTGTCGTGAGATTGTCATAGAATCGTGTATGGTTATGTAAGGAGAAAGTAACCAAACTCATTGACTCATGTCAGTTCTATAAAAATAGATTTAATTGAACCCAACTGAGAGCAGTTGCCACAAAGCTAATAGTTTATCCAACACAAATATGGAAGCTCTGTATTTCTCCCGTTTCTAGATTAAAATATGAAACAACCCAACATTTGAAATAGCTAATTCTTTCTACTTTGATAAAAAAAATATATCCCTATATTAAATACGGCAATTACTTAATTAATTTAGCCCGTTAAAAAATCGATACGCCGAAGAAGTATTTTTAAACCAGGTTTTCTGTTAATTAAGTGAACATTTTTTTTTATTTGTCAAAAGATTATTTAAGAAGGTCTGCGCGCCATATTATGTTACATCTGCTTCGGTCACATTTAAATTTAGCTGTACGATAGAGATTTACTTTGCTTCTTTTGATCCAATGTAAGTAAAATGTATCGTTTTTAGTTAACATTTTGGTTATATTTTACCATTAAGTTTATTTGCAAACGAGCAGGCAAAACTAAATTTAAATCTGGCATGAAATGCAAAAGGTCTACTCTAAAATCTAGAGACTTGACATTTTAACAGTCATAAAATTATATTCTGCAATTATATTGTTTACTGTTTACCAAACTCTTCTTTCGGGAATAAAATGCAGGTTGATCAAACTATTTTAGCACGTTGTTTGTTATTCTACAATATGCCCAGGCCGATTCCTTCCAGAGGCCGATTTCTTTTCACAATATGAACGCCTTCCAAAGGCCAATAGCCTAGGAGAGGCCGACTGCATTCCAGAGGCCCATTGCCTTTTAGAGGCTGAGTGATTTACATTGGCCGATAGTCTTCCATAGGACGATAGTCTTCCAGAGACGGATAGTCTTCCAGAAGCTGATTGCCTTTTAGAGGCTGATTGCCAAAATGTACCCAATGTCATTAAGTAAGACCATCAAAATGACGTTAATTGTTAAGCAAACAGCCATGTGTGTTAAACATTTTTCAACGGATGTATAGAATCGGTTCTAAAATTATACTCACGTGTTAGTTCCTCTCCATAAAAAAAAAACAACAAAAAAACTTCAAACATTTTTCAAGGTCTAAGCTATTATCCACGTTTATCCGTTCCTGAACCATTATCTATAACCCGCCATTTACCTCACGCCGTATCCCTTAAAGTTCTCATATTAAGGACCTAATTACTCGCGTCCATATAAAGTTCTTATATTAAGGTCCTAATCACCCGCGTACATACCCCTAATATTGACCCTCGAAACCACCTCCCCTCACCCCCTACTCACCATCTCCCCACACCCATCTACCACACACTTATCTCCTTCCCTCAATCACCCCCACCCCCATCTCTCACAATACCAAGCATACCCTCTACTATATTATCCTTTAACTCTTCCATTCCTATTGCTATATTCTTCCTTCCATGTCTCGAACCCCACCCCCTCCCCCTCCAACAGCATACCCATCCCATCAGGTCAGCTCCCAGTTCAAGGCCACCCCTTCACTGACCTTTCACCTGAGCCACGTCTGTACGAGTGCGCTCTACGTGTGCACACAACAGTGACGTCATCATAGTCACGAAACGGGAAAATCCGATTAGCGCATCGTCACATTGTCTACGCGAGGAAAAGTGGAGAGAGGGGGTGAGGGTGGTTGGGGAAATTAAATAACTCACGTTTTCTGTTTTTGAGGCTCTCGAAGCACCGCTAGCGAGAAGCGTCATCTATATTTCATGCTAAAACTCTCATTTCGTCATTTCGTCATGTGGGGTTCACGCTGTTGGAAACTACAGCGGCATAACCAAGTAGACGAGTCTTATTTTTTTTTAAGTTTTTTTTTTTAGGTTTTTATTTCATCTTAGGTTTTTTTTAATATATAATGGTTTTTTAAAATAGGCCTACTTTAGATAGATTTTTTACGTCTTTATTTAAAGTGTCTCATTTTGGGCTTTTTTTTTTTTTTTTTCAGGGTTTTACATTTGCTGATGTTTTTTTTTATGTAATGGGTTTGTAAAATACTTTAGATAGATTTCTGAGCTTTTTAAATGTTTAAATGTCTTTTTTTCAAGTTTCTCATTATAGGCTTTTTTAAAATGTATTTGTTATTCTATAATTTTAATTTTCTTCTTTTTTTTTGTTCTCTATGAACGGGCTGTTTAGAAACTGAATGTTTTATTTAGTTTAAGGGGATCCTCATAATCAAGTCCCATTCTCGTATTTCAAAAAAATCCTAGTTATATGTGTACGTACTGTTAACAGTACACCCTAGTAGCCTACATGTGTACGTACTATTAACTTTACACCATGATGCATATGTACCTCCTGTTAACTATACACCCCAGTACACATGTACGCATCATAGTGTAGACCAGGGGTCTCCAAACTACGGCCCGCGGGCCGGATGCGGCCCGCGAAGTCCTCTCATCCGGCCCGCGGAGATCTTTTTGTCTAAAGAAAAGTCGTTTGTTGGAGATGGCTGAGGAACTTTGCCCAGAGAAATCAAAGACATGCCTGGAAGAAACTGGCCCCCGAAATGAAATTTGATAGTTAATGCGGCCCTCGGTCTGAAAAGTTTGGAGACCCCTGATGTAGACTAACAACATCTCGTATTTTTTTCTGTTTAACCTACACTCGAATTGTTGACTTATTTTTGTACAGTATGTCATCAAAAAAGTATGTGTGTAATTAATTAATCACCACCATATTCACTACCCATGTAAAGAAAGATACAACTTGCACCTACACCCAGAACATATTAGTTTCTTGAAATAAGAAAGCCTTTCTATATTCACTTTAAATCTAAAAAGAATTATTGTTTCGTAGAGAAATTAATGTCAAGTACTGGTATTTTAACGTTTTTGTAAAAAAAAATACCCACTAGAGATTTGTAAAATTACGGTTTTACAAGAATTCTTGTGCAATGAAAATAAATGCGTAGTCAAATAATGGATACCTATATTTAGGGTTATACAAAAGATTGAATAATTGTACAGTTGGTTAATGTTTAATTTTACATTTAATTAGATTGAACAATTTTCAAACATCATCATCAATGTTTAATAAAATTAGTTCGCAAAACTCAGAGAAAATTTTTTTTCGTTAATT